TACCATCGAAGTTTATGCTTTACGCTCGCGCAACGGGTGAGATCAAGGCCAGACTCGTGAATAGGCTATATTTTCGTCGCAGAACGATTTAAACCAACAACTGGTAGCCCCCCCCCAACTACGAATATCCTTCTAAGGTATTCTTTGTAAGACCAATCGCTATGAATGAAGCGCTCTGGATCGATTCTCTGGCACGACCTGGCGGTGTCTTTTGATCACTCGGCTTTACAGACCATCTGTTGTAGAGAATGAAAAGGACTGCTGGAAGGATTTCAATTCATTAGGGAGACAAGATTTGGATGGTATAAGGACTGGAGGAGTCATTACCATTCACAATTTCGCAATTCCCTCACGGATTCTGTAAAAACTGTGGGTCATGGCGGGGTAGAGCAGAATGTGGTAGTGAGTTGAGAGATTTGACAACTTGTTTTGGGGAGGGGGGGGATTTTTTTTTGCAGAAATGTTCTGAAGTGTTGAAAACGGATTAGAAGCCTTAGAGTAATCAACATTGTCTGGGAGCCCTCTCCAATCTTGCGAACTCCTATGATACTGTACATGCACGGCGCGAACCAAAAGTCACCTCATGGACGTTTCAATTTCTGGGCTGTCATTCCACATTAGGATAACACTCAGCGCTCCGGACTGCTCTAAGAATATCGATTAGCATATTGACAATGTCGATGAGGGTAGATTTGCATATGAGTAGCCCTGCATACGGTAATTGACTGGTGTGCCGGATTAGTTTTTCGATTGGGTAGCTTTGGCTGTAACAGTGGGTCGTCGTGACTGAGGCAGGTGGTCTCGTTCTGTTGTACTGATGGTGAAGCACACCGGGTTCATTAAACTCAAGCAGGCGAATGATGCGATTCTGTGCCAATTATGGCTTAGCTGGGTTGATGGGGTGACTGAAGAGCATCTAAGAGCAGACTTTTCTTACGCTCGATCAATTCGAGTATTTTGGTTGGAGGTTGAGGAGGAAATGTCGGAAGGGGTGGAAAGGCACGTTGGAAAGAAATCGGAATTCTGCGCTTCAATTAGAGTTGGGCGCTATCGCAAGATACGGGGGCATTGTGGTAGCACATACATTTCAAAATTGCATGAAACACGACTCTTTAGTTGAAAACGGGACTTAAGCCATAGGCGGAGGAAGTCCAGTGGTGGCGTGGGATCATTCTTCTGTCTCTAAAGAGTGTTCTGCCCCCTTTTGAAAAGTATAGTCCTAGACGATGCCCCGTTACTAGTGCCAGAACGACTTAAACTGAATACTTTTGATATCGAAGAGATGGACATCACGAATGAAAGGGAAAAATGGGAAATGCTGCAACTCGTCATCTCAGAGTAAGCCATGAATCCGCTCCTGAACAGAAATGGAGGGCGTACTTGCCACAGTCGCCACAGTAAACGGCCAGTAGTCGAAATAAAGATTTTTCGTGAATAGGCTTCTCATATAGGCACTGCCCTCCAGGATTGTTATGCCATTTCTTTCAGTATTTTCTAATCCTTAAGCTCTTAGGAATCAAGAACCAAGAAGGAAAGAGTTTGAGGTTATTTTTTGAGCTTTTTCGAATGGCGAAAGCGCATCGTGGCGCGCTTGGGCGTCAACTTTTGATCGTATTTAAGCCTGAATAAACACTCTCGCTATCATAATTTGAAATGAAAGATTGAATCCCATGCTGAAAACAATACAAACGGTATCCATTAAAGATAGCCAGTCAGTCGCAATATCCCTCTTCTAACGTGGAATTAAACGCCTGTGGTCGGATTCACAACGATTGTTCCGCCTTACCTATAATAGATACTTTCTTAGGAGGCAACCCGTGCACAACCAAGGTTTTCACCAGCAGAGGGCAGAAAAGACGAAGACCACCTTCCAACCCATCCATTTCGAGAAATCAAGCTTTTTGAACGCCTTCTCTTCAGGCAGACTGCGTAGCTGGAAGACTCACAAGCGTTGAGACATTCAGAAAGAGCCGGAAGAGCGTTCCACAGGAAGCACTGGGGCGTTTGAGGGGCTATCTCACCCTCTAACTTGAGGTCATTCTGTTCCATCTGATCTTCGAGACGTCGCGTTTAGGCAAACTGGTCAAACTTCTGTACTGGCCATCAGGGCTGCTCAAAGCAAATCGAATCTCGAAGATAGCAAAAACACAAGCGAGGTCAGATTTTCGCCCTCCCAACTCCCACTTGACAAATGAACATAGAAAAGAAACTACGTGGTTAAGAAGCCCTCAAAGGGTTGGAAAAGTTACCACTTACATTAGTCAAGAAGCGCTCAAAGGTTTCGAGGCTTCATTGATCCGGTAAGTTGTAGCGACAGAGTTCCTGAGATCAGAGATTTCCCTGAAAGGACGCCGGCTAAAACAGTTAAGGACCCGGGCCACTCGCGGCTGACGGAGCCTACGCGGACAGCGAACTGGTCACTGCGTTCGATAGTGGGACCCCTGGCCAGAGCCCCTTTTGTTATGGAAATCAACGTTCAACTTTCAGGTAGGATTCTTCCACAATAAATCCTGCTCAGGTCGATCGTAACACGAGATTTTACCTCCAGCTTACCATCTGACAGGGTAATTATACCGAGCCCATAATTTAAGACACGATAACTTTTTTATTTGCAGAAAGCTAATAAAAAGTACAAAGCAATGAAAAGTGCAGGAGCGCTCAATGAGGAAGGAAGGAAACTTCAGTCAGCAAAGTCATATTTCCCATGGGAAAATGAGAGGAGGGAAAATGATCTGGAGCAATTTTTCACAGACTTCTTTTATTATTTTACTCATTCCCACATGAATGTGTTGAGGAATTGTCCCAGATTGCGCCACTCATTTGAATTCCAATCAGGCACTGCAAAAGGGATTTGACGAGAATTAAAAGTGTATGCATATGCATAAAAAATAGATTCTTCGCACCTATACTGTCAATCCCGGAACACGAATTGTCAACTATTTCGACAAGCCACGAACTACTATATAGTTCAAATCGTACAGTATAGTAGTAACTAGGGATGAGCCACGCATTGTACTTCTATTATATTTCAAATGGTAATGGAAATTCGAATGCAACTCGGCCCACTAATTTTAGCGCCAGCTTCTTACACCCAGACTGGTCTACTACTACTTACCAGTGGCTGACGCTGTAGCGAAAATGTACGGCTCGATTGGCCTGAACTTCGTACGATCAAGTATTTGATCCACGGACCGAGTGCGTGATAAGCGGCGCCACTTGCCATGACACTGCTTTGCATCATAAACTTGGTAATAATAATAATGAGCACTGTTGAAGCGTTGCATTTTTCTTTTTTTTTGAAGCAGTTAAAGCGAAAAATAGAGAAATATCCACGAATTTAATTATATTATTGAAAGCTCCATAAAAGGCGAAAATGAGTTAAAAGTGTGGAAATAATTTGAAAGTTAAGATCTACATAGAAACATTACTAGACCTGCGCTTATCTAATGAAAATTTTTCTTGGAAAAAGTTAAAGTCGCTGTCGCAAGATACGGAGGCACTGTGGTGGCAATGATTTAAAACTGCACTGACAACATTCATCCTTTCGTTGTTTAAACACGGACCAAACCTGTAGGGCCGGGGAACTCGCAGGGCGCTGGACATGTGCCATTTTCATTTCCGCGGAGTTCCTTCCCGTGTCTTCCAGCACACTAAAAACAACAGAGCTTCAAAGCGTTATAATATATCTAATTCTATTAAAGCGCGGACTACGCTTTCATTCTTCCCACGATGTTCTGCTCCCTTCCCTGGCCCTAGTCCTTCGAGAATGGCCCCGTATTTTGCGAGAGCGCGAGCAGGGAAATAATCATGAATCGTTTAATGGAAAAAAAGATCAAATAAAAGACAAGAATTCTCGAAGATGCTTTTTTCCAAGTTATGTAAGCTCTGCTCAAAATTTCCGATAGGTCCCCTAGAAAATTGTGGAACTATTAATAAGGTCAATAATTGATAAATCGAAATGTGGTGGGGAATTTTCTCAGACAATGTATTTTGTCAAACACATGAGCCATAAGTTGTTGAGCAATACATAAACCCCAATTTGGCATTTCTGATACAAAAAAAATATCCAAAATATAAGAGTCACAAAAACGCGTTAAAAGGGTACAATCAAATAATATATTCAAAAACTTCATAAAAATAGCGGCTTATACACTGACAAGCCAAAAATAAGCAATCATAATTGACTGTCAGGTTTCAAACTATATATTCAGCTTTGAATGCGATTATCGTCTTCGTTGTCTTCACGCCCTCACTTCTCAGCTCTGAAAAATAGCAGTTTTTGATTTTTTAAAATTCAACTTTGATGTGAGTGATGAGGAAAGTAGAAAAGCAAAGCAAGCAGAACATAATTAAGGGATGGACGACAAAATATCAAGCAATTGTTCAATTAAAACGGAAAACTAATGATGAAACTGGGGAGGGATGTGAGAAAGGTGTGGTAGTTGTAATTACCCTGGAGAAGAGGAGAGGGTATTTCATGAGATTGGTTGGTTTTGATTTAATTTTGTTGACGAAGGAAAATATAGAAGGGAAAAAAAGAAAAAAAAAGTTGAACAGCGGGTGCAGGGAATCGGAAAAGCACCGCCTTAAAACTTTCCTCCGAAAAGTCACTGTTAGGAAGCATTTCAGAGGCGCACAGCCATTGGAGCAGCTTATTTAAAGGCAACTTTCCCCTGCCACAAGAGAAGATAGTAAAGCACGTCCCAACCAACATGAGGGATTTGTGGCTCAGGTTCTTCTATGTGTTGTCATTTAAAATGCCCTAGACTGACTTATACATGAGCGTGGACCTCATTTCTCAGATTTAAGACATTGACGCTTCTAGTAACATTTGCCGACAAAATACACAAACCTAACGGCACACCCGTGGGCTATCAAGGCTATGGAAGAGGTCAAGAAAGAGAAAGCTAAAGAGATTTCTCAGTCAGAAATGCTGAAAATGGCGACTTGGTGCACCAAAATAGCACAGCAACTTGCCAAAAATGTTCTTCATCACCTACCGTACTCCATGCGTTGCCAAACAGAATGGTGGTAACGGCTTTTTTTGGAGGTCTCTTAATGACGATATCAGTGGTGGCGGCGGCGCCATCACTGTCAAGTCGTAAACACCGGCACACAGCGGTCGGTCGGTGCTGACCTCGGGCCGAACCCCATATTTCAGGTTCTCGCGCAGGACTCTAATTAACTTTTATGTGGTAATTCTCACGCGACCGCACACACACACCCATCCTCCTACACGGCTGGTTATGGAACCGGCTACGGCCGGACGCCACAACGACTCTCCAATCATGTACTCATTATCAGAATCACGCCGACTCGGCGAATTCATTACAACCTCTCATCAGCAGCCTGAATCATTTCGTTGTTGCTGAATGGGCGAAAAACCCCAAATGGGGTCGACGGAGAATTCAGCTTATTATTGGACAAAACCGAGCGAAATTCCGAAGCTGAACGAGAAATGGGAACATTCCTGAAGATCCCGAACTTGGTTGTTTCTGACTACAAACCTTCCTAATTGTAGCGAGGTCCTGTGGTTGAGGGCATATCGTAATCAACGATCTTTATGAGCTCGGAATCCGCTCAGGTTCACCTGACCCTCCCACATGACCTTAGTCTTTTGCGGAATAACTAAAAGGCCAGTACTCTACCGTAAAAGTGCTGAATCTAAAAGCCGGCGATTTCGTCAAGTTAGAGTCCGAAATTTTGTCCACAAAACTGCACGACTCAGAAGGAAGTCAAACTCACGGCGCATCACCGAAAAAGGTGACATTCCCGACATGTTTGTGGATTGCCTGGGTTACAACTTTAGGGTACAATTTGATTATTCTCGATAACACAAAAAATAAATAGAAGCCAACTTGAAAAGGCTGTTTTGAAGGAAACTGTTTTTTTTTCAGGCATGCAAAGGTGTCACTAAGTATATCTCCAAAATAGTGAAGTCATACTTGTATAATAGCACCAGACTTTGCAATAGCCACGTTTGCATGCGCTATAAGATAGGTATTGATTTTACGCCTCTGCGCGTGCACACAACAATGTCAAACTTGTGAGAAATATCTTGTTGCACCTGAGTAGCTGCATCAAGCCTCTCGCGAGTGCCACAATAATTTAAAATTGTGAGGAATATCTGATATGCACTGGAGTAGTGCTTGCATTCCTCAACTACAACGCAACAGCACGCTCAGAAAGTATGGATCAGGATGCGCCATGCACCCAAAAAGTTTTCATGGAATGTCAGAAGGTGAATTTGGCCAAAAAATATCGTGCAAGGGCTGATCGGATTAATGCTTTTACCAGGCTACCCTTTACCCTAGGTCCACCCTGTCCCAGGCTAAGCACAATGTCAGAAGAGAAAGCTCAGAATTTAAGATTGCCCTTTCGCCTCCTTGTTGGCCCGACCCCCCCCCCAAATGTAGTACTATGATAGTATATTATAAATATACTAGCCAATTGCATATTGACAGAATCCTTCCCTATTTTTTTTTTCTGATTTGTTTCTTATTTATTTGCCCTGTCATATTCCCTAATGTTACTCCGTTTTTATTCATGTACCTATTGACATAGCATAATACTGTACAACAGCTATGATGAATACATAAATTCTCGCAAAGCTACATGATTCTGCGGAAATTTATTTATTTTGTTATTATTTATTGTTTGGGAATCAATAGTTCGAATCGGTATACTGTAATCGCATGCTACATGACGCAATCGGACAGTAGCGGAGACGATAGCGGCTTCGTTTCACATCATACAACTGGGTTCATCGATGGCCCAGTAGTCAGGAGCTAGGGATCAGCCAGCAACGTACTGACATCATAATTATAGAGAGCGTACGTATGAGGCCATATGTCATATGTGTATGGGTGGACATGATATAGTAAATCATGGCCGCCTACGAGACGACCCCATAAACGGGACCGAAAAACCTGTTGTTTTAGTTTGACTAGAGCAGGGTTTACTGATTGAAATTGTGTTTGGCGACCAGGCATAGTTGCATTGATTGGGTTCAGTTCACTTATGCTTTGCAATTACCATGTTAAGGAACTCCTTCCCTGCGAAAGTCTTGATTTTTTCTCGACATGAGTAGGTCCAGTGGTGATCCTATAGAAAATATACGAGTTCACGCGCATAAGATTCAGTTCCGAACGAGAAAACAAACTACCCTACAAAAACAACACTTTTATGGTGATCGAATGGGTGTTAAGCATGGGGCGGGGCAAGGGGCGGCCATGAGAGAAAGTCTTAGGGCGACTACTTATCGGCAATGAAAAAATCGGGCTTGCGCGTTGCGATTTGGAGAGTAGAGACAAATCGATCGATAGAATAGGATGGAGTAGAAGTGTGAGATGTGAATGCAATAAGTCAAAAGGCCAGAAAGAGTTTCTAGTGACGGCACTCCAAGAACCAAGTGGAAGCATTCCCGTCGCCAGCATTTGTGACAGATGTCCGGCGGGAATTTGAACGCGTAGCAGCTTTTTCTTTTTTCTTTTCATGCTTACCGTGATCGATGTGTCCAAAGCCAGTGAATTATGGGTAAGATAGAATCACGATTTTTCCGAGAAGGATTACTTGAACGACGGTTTCTTCCGTTCATTAGTGGCGTTTTCAGTTGGCATTTATCTACACAACAGTGCAAGAAGAATCTCGTTTACGGGGGTGGGAGGTTCGCTCACGAGGGGTCTTTTACATATAAGCTACGCTGTTTCACGATGTACTTTCGAATTGTGAGGAAGATGTGAGCGGAACACTAAACCATGTTTTTTCGCTGCACGGGTCCTAGCAGTACAGAAGAAGTGCGAGTGTGCGTTTAGTGGTTGCGGTCCCCCGTTGGCGACTAAATTTGCGTCCAGGTTTGGGATTGACGGGTTCGGTGCCAAATTCGCGCTATGTCAATAATTCGATGTCGTGATTCATGCATCAGGACCATTTTGAAGCCAACAAATGGCCGCCAAACACGGCTGCAAAATTAGGTCGCTGCGGGGGGTCGAACCACCAAGGGTATCATTCGCTAATTTTTTGAATATAACTAGAACCATTTCGGCGAAAACGAAACATGGTTTTGTAGTCCATGCATACTTCCCTACAGTATGCAAGAAACCGTTTCCAAAAAGCGCGGCTTGTCCCGAAAGACCCCCCCCCCCTTGTTATTGCGGGACATGATACTCTGTTTAGGTGCAACGGTTTCCCATCCCAAGTGGTTTGGCCGAAGATACCGTAATAGCTATAGGTGATGAAAGCGCTGCAAAAGGACCCAGCTATTCCGTGAAACAATTCCATTAGCTCCAAGTCGAAATTAGTGATGCGGATTTCAGCACTTGGCAACATTGCGCTCGACGTACGAGCTGTTCAGCAATGGGAATCCCCCGAGAATTCCAGTGCAAGGGTTTCGCTCAGCGCTCAATAGGAAGCCGCTCGCACATTAAGAGAGCTTTCACGTGAGCAAATATTTGATACGAGGGCATGGCTGTTGAGCATTGTTATGAAAGCTGGCCTTTGCCTTCCATTTTATGATAGAAAATAGAAATCTCTTATAATGGAATTTGTAATTAGGGACCGCACTGCAGACGGGGAAGAAACAAACGGAGTTGATACATACAAAACAAATAAATAAATTGATTAGCTCCTAAATAAAAGAAACAAACAAATAGAAGTGAACAAGAAAATAACGTAAGAATTTAAGAAACATAAATCAGAGCGGCTAGTATGTTTGTGTCCATTCCATGTTACTAGCCGCAGTTCCAAATAACAAGAAATTGATCGCAGTTCGATTCCGCAATTCGGGCATCGTTATAATGGTTTTCATATAGAGCTACCACATGTTGCGCCTTGCGGGGAATGCGCGTACAAGACGCTTTCAGGCATCCAAGTCTCAGTGCGGTGCTTAAATGCGATTTGGGACTAGTTAATGACTCGTGGCGACCATCAATGTACAAGCATTGTTTTTATGTCTGCCAGGGGAAACCAAATGGTTTTATCGACTAGGGAGGGCCAGGATTGGATACCTGGCGGAGATCGATGTAATATCGGAGCCTGATTACACGATACTTCTTTGTATTGCAATGTGATAATTAATCAATTCATTGAGAGTCTGGAGTGATGTGGTGGCAAATGACGCACTTACAAAGACACGTCAGGGATCAAATCCTGGATGTATGGTCTTGCTAGATCGACAAGAGCGCTTCCTTAGCCAGTTGGTTACACTCATTTGGGACCATTATTAATTGATAGTACGTAGCGGGCCCTTTCGACAAGGTGCACGCAAGGGTTTTAGTGTTTCTTCTTTGTGCCAGAAAAAAATCAATTGATGACCTGGAAAATTATTTATTTATTAATATTTATTTAAAAACTGCACTTTTTGGTCCGACCCAACAAGCCAAAACTGTTCGTGTTTAGTGAGTCGCAAATTTGTTTCTTTTGAATATACTAGAGTTACAGGACTGGGGCGATATAAAAATCGGAGACATAGTAGATCAATCTTTGTTGGAGGGGTTGCTCAAGCTGAGAAAAATATAAAGTGCTGAATGTCTCCGCGGAACTTTTGACGCCCGTACATCTTTTGGTAATCTCACATTCATTGCATAAAGAACGAATAATACAATCACGGGCAATTTTCATGTTGAGACGAAATAAGATTGCATGGCTTATATCCGACGGTGATTAACACATAGAGATGGTTTATATTTCAATATGTTTACTAGTAAAAAGTAAAAGGTATTTGTTGAACAAGGAGCATCGAGAAAAATGCATCGTACTTGATTATAGGGGACGTTTTCTCGTTGACAATAGAACAATTGGCGACAGGTTTTACCCAAGGGAAACCTATGATTAAGCGCTTAGTGGCCTAATTTCCATATTGTGTTGAGGTGTTGAGGACAGCAGGGTGATGAGTTTGATTGAAGGGTGCAGTCCTGTGAACCGGGGTCGCGCAGGGTGCGAACAGGTGCTTTGGCTTCGTAATAACTTCGTATAGCATACAAGGCTGTATGTTATTGCAAACCACAAACCACCCCGGGGGTTGCTCGGTCCTATCGTTGCTACTTTTCAAAAATTTTGACGAGCCCCCTCCCCATGAAATGTTTCCCACAACCTCCTCTTTCAAAACAATTTTTACCCCAAAAAATCACCACCGAGCGGAGGGGGGGGGGTGGTGTACGAGGCTGAACGGTGAAAATTTTCTCCCACGCGTCCCATTACGACCCCCCCTCACAGTTCGCTCATCGTTCATATCCTAATGTCTTTGATTTCAGGATCTTTCATGGACTTGCGTATTTAAATCACAAGCCGAAACACTTTAGGTTTTAGCGTTATACGATAGGTTCCATTTAA